AAATGGTATATTTGTATACTATTTGGGTATACAATACAAATTCGTCTTCTTCTCTGGTTCAACTATATTTCAACCCAAATTTCTAAAATTTACTACAAAATCTCCACCAAATTGACTGAAACTTTAGCTACAACCTCCAATCAACTTTCCAAACTAACCCATATAGGATCGGATCAAAACAATTAAAAACTCAAACAAACCAAGTTATGAGTTTCAAGCTTCAAGGTCCGTGGTATTGAAATCCATATCTTAGATCCTTTAATTGGCACCTGTTTAATGCGGGACTTCAATAGCGTGGCGGAAAGGACAATCTTTTTGTGCGCTGGCTGCTGAGGAGAAAGAGTGATCAATGTGACTTCAATTTCACATAACATTAACAGATAGTGACTCAAATTCACAGAATATTCTACAAATGATTGATTAACAAACTATTAAAGCATTACCAATCAGTCAATCAATGCTCTAGATTGACTATAGTGCAAGGTTTATAAAATATAGACAATATATGAGGTTGGATCAGTGGCGAAGCCACATGGTCATATGGGTGGTCAATTGACCACCTTTCGTCGAAAAATTACAATGTGTATTTAGGTAAAATATTACGTTTAGAGTTATATAACACATATTGAACACCTTTGTTTGGTGCATCATGGCTTCTACAATATTTATACATCAGAAAATTCACGTTCAATGTTTAATCAGTATATTGTCCGAGATCAGGTATATTTTGATTTTCCTAACTTAAAAGTATACATTAGTAGCATGTTACTTGCCTATTTTCCGAATTACTTATATGGCTTCTTATGCACGAATACTTATGTATAGTTATTTTTCTTTTAGTTAGTGTAAAGAGTTTTTTACTCTATCACCATAGAAGTTCAACTGTTTATAGTTGAACTCACAGTTCAAGATATTAGCACATTCAAAATTTAAAAATTAACTGTGATATTAAATATTTGAAATATTATCCATAACTTCATTATATCCAACATGGAATACATATTTATTACTTTAATTGTATACATCTTTAACTTGTAAAATTATTCTAACATGATTTCGTTAAATTTATTATTAACACTCTCTAACGAAAAAAGAAGTAGACAAAAAATTTAAAAGAAGAAAATTCGTGTTCTTAATGTCAGGATAGAAAAAATAGCAAATTCTTTGTTTGCATTCAAAATTCTAAATTTTAGGAGTTTTTACATACATTAAATAAGGAAACCATTTGGCGGGTAAATAGTATTGATTGCATAGGTAGGAAAAATAAATAATTTAGGTATGGGTATTTAAGGGTAAATAGTTTGAATTTAATGGGTATAAAGTGAGATTTTCTCCAATTAATTACTAGCAATACCTAAGTTTTTTTTAGGACAAAAGATAATTTATTTATTTATAATAGCTAGGTAACAGTTGGTGCTAATGCACAATTGTCTTCACTACTACCACTTTGGCTATACGTATGCCTCCTGAGGCATTTTCATTTCCTAGAGCAGCCAGCTTAAAATATACACTATTTCGAAATATTTCTTACACTATGAAAACCTTCCTGATCTTTATGTTACGCATCCACAACAAAGTCAGGAGGTGTTACAAAAAGACATAATTTATTTCAGTTGGGCTGTTTGGGTGCTTCCTTAGCCAAAAGGCGTGCATATCACGACCCAAAATCTAACTAGTGGTGATAGTACCTAACCCAACCCGCTAGGTAAACCAATTAACAATAATCCAATTCAAATGTGATTTATTGGGAACATAAATAATGCAATAACTGAACTTTTATAAAAAATAACTCAAGGATTAATAGTACAAATCATGAAGTTCTAAGATTTAGAGTTTACAAAGTTGGTACGAAATAAATACATCATATGTTCGAAGTGTACATAAACAGATTTGTAAATCTAAAGCTACCATGAACAAGAGACAGCTATAATCGGAATGCAATTACATCTTAAATGCCAGCACCCACCATGCATAACACTAGTTTCAAAATCTGCACGCAAGGTGCAGAAGTGTAGTATGAGTATGAAACGACCCCATATACTCAATAAGTAACAACCGTAACCTTATGTTGAAAGCAATGACGAGCTTGGAAAACGGTCTGAGTCCAACACCAATAGCCAAGAACATCCCGTAACAATATAATAAAAGCAGTACAAGTAATAACTCAAAGATATGATACTTAGCTCGTTCACAATTACGGAAAATAGACATGCTTTTCAGGTATAGCAGTAAAACCCAAATCTTTCGATGTTAGGCGAAGTCTACTGGGTTCGCATTTGCGATCTTCTTGGTCGCATTTACGATGGTCCTATGTTTGCAATTGCAAACTATTCATCGCATTTGCAATGACAACAGGAATGGGAGGGCTTCGCATTTGCGAAGCTTGCATTTGCAAACCCCACATCACAATTGCGACACCTGCGACTGGACAAAAAGCTGAGGGACGGGATTTTTTGTCTCATTTTCATATTTTGGAACCCTAGACTCGGTAGGAAGCTATTTTGAAGAGAGATTTTTATCTACAAACTTTAGGTAAGTGATTCTAATCTATCTCTAATCATGTTCCATCAATATATCTTAGATTTTAACATCAAAATCATGTGAATCAAAGTGAAATTTTGTGAGACTTTGTCAAGTTTTTGAAAAATAAGAATTTGAGTTTTGAAAGTCGATTTGGACTCGGATTTTGAAACTAATCACTTATATGAACTCGTGGAGTCATGGGTAGTCGGAATCTACCATTGGACCCGGGTTTTGACCGGGCGAGTCCCGAATAGGGTTTTGTTGACTTTTGAGCAATTGTGTAAAGATCGTAGATTTAATTATTGGAATTGATTTCTCTTGCTTTATTTGATGTTATTAAGTCGATTTTGGTTATAATTTGTGCCGAGCGGAGGTGAATTGTAAAGAAAAAGCTATTTTTGAGAATTGATTGAGGGTTTTTGAGGTAAGTATCTTGCTTAACATTGTGTGGGGAAGCTACCCCGTAGGAATTGGTTTGTTTGCATTATTTAACTACATGAAAGACGTGTACACAAGGTGATGAGTATGTACACGACTTATATGTGAAAATTTAACCGACTTAAACTCTTAGGTTCTTATGTAAGTTAAAAATGAGGCTGTCTCATCATATTATATCCTCTTGCTAGAATTACTCTTACATGTCTTATTTGAAGTTGATTTGTTCATGTTCTACTTTTATTGCCAAATATACTATTATATGCCTTAATTGAAGTAGTTACATCTTTTATTGCCATGTATCTCTTCCGTAGTTGATTATCCTTAATTGAAGTTATGGTTATCTCTTCCATTGTTGCCTTATCCTTATTTAGAATCGTTGTTACATGTTATCTCTCTTATCGTTGAGTTGTACTTATTTGGAATCGTTGTTACATATTTCCTCTCTCATCATTGAGTTGTACTTATTTGGAATCATTGTTACATGTTATCTCTCCTATTGTTGAGTTACTCCTAGTTGATATTATTATTACACACTATCTCTCTCATTGTTGAGTTATTCTTGTTGAAATCATTATCACTTGTTATGTCTTTCATTGTGAGCTCGTTCTTCCATTTCTTTGTATTTTGTAATTCTTGTGTTGATTTACTCATCGTACTCTCGTGTTATTGTTGTTGTTATTGTTGTACTCGGTGCTGTTGAGATGAGGGCTATGTGTGGTTGTGGTATTGGAATTGTTTTGAGAAAATGTTATGGCATATGGGCACATGTGGTGCAAGACATTATATTGTGTTGTTATGTTTTTGGCACACGTGATATTGTTGAGAGGTTTGTCGGGTGTGTTCGCACGTGAGTTGTCCGTGCTATTGTTATTGACAATTACACATACAACATGCCAAGACGGGCTATATATATATATACATATGGGTTTGCGCATGTGGCGAGAATATTATTATGCGTGTGCGGCGAGATAATGCGGGCATTTACTTTATTGTTGTGCACGTGGCGAGACAAGGTGGGCTATGTCGGGGATGATTTGTGATGACATGTGATGGCGTAGAGGCACTGTTATTGAAGATATTTATTTAGTAGTGTGCCTACCTTGTGTGAGTTATGCATTTTACGGTTTGTTATGTTGTTGCCCATGTGCCATTCGTTGTCTGTGCTCTTACTTGTTGACTTGAGTTGTGATAGAACACTTGCACAAGCATACACGTAACTAATCACTCATATCAGTTTAAAAAGATGAATACAACAACAAGCCCAGTAAAACCCCACAAGTGAAGTTTGGGAAGGGTGAAGTGTACGCAGATTTTACTCCTACTTAATGAAGGTACAAAGGTTGTTTCTGAAAGACCCTCGACTCAAAAGAAGTAAACATGAAGCAATAAACAGATAGTAGCAACAACTAGGTAAGTAGACATGGGAACAAATGAAGATACGTGCAACAACAAATATCTAAGAATACGACACTATAAAAATAGATTTAGTCTTGCTGAAATAATGACACAATATGAAACAGCGAGGGGCTAGGCATAGAAAAAACAAGACTAGGACTAATACTACTGGGATGCCTAGACGAAACTCTAGACTTCCTGTCAACCCAAAACCCTAATCCTCGACCTCCATATCCTCCTATCGAGGGTCATGTCCTCGGTAAGCTGAAGTAGCGCCATGTCCTGCCTAATCATCTCAACCCAGTACTTCTTAGGCCTCCCTCTACCTCTCCTCTAACCTGCCATGGTCAACCTGTCACACCTCCTAAGCGGGGCATCAGGGTTTCTCCTCTTCACATGTCTGAATCATCTTACCCTCGATTCCCGCAACTTATCTTCTATAGGAGCCACACTCACCTTTTTCCTAATATACTTATTCCTAGTCTTATCTCTCCTGATATGCCCACATATCCATCTCAACATCCTCATTTCCGCTACTTTCAACTTCTAAACGTGGGATTTTTTGACTGGACATTCGACTCCATACAACATGGTCGGTCTAACTAACCTTTATAGAACTTGCCCATAAGTCTAGGTGGCACATTCTAGTCACACAAAATACCAGAAGCGAGCCTCCATTTCATACATTCGGCTCCAATACGGTGTGCGACATTCTCGTTGATTTCCCGGTTACCCTGTATCACATACCCAAGATATTTGAAACTATCTCTCTTGGGGATGACTTGTGTATCCAGCTTCACGTCCACTTCTGCTTCATGAGCGCCAATACTAAACTTACACTCCAAGTACTCTGTCATCGTCCTGCTCAACTTGAAACCTTCAGACTCCAGGGTATGTCTCCATACCTCTAGCCTAGCATTAACCCCACAACGCGTCTCATCAATCAGCACTATGTCATATGTAAATAACATACACCATGGTACCTCTCCTTGAATGTGTCGCGTCAACGCATCCATCGCCAGGGCAAAAAAAATGGGCTAAGATATGATCATTGATGCAACCCTATCTCCACTGGGAAATAGTTCGAGTCACCTCTCACCGTCCTCGCCCGAGTCTTAGCTCCATCGTACATGTCCGTAATCACCCTAATGTACGCTACCGGGACACCGCTAATCTCCAAAAATCTCCATAAAACCTCCCTAGGGACTTTATCGTAGGCTTTTTCTAAGTCAATAAACACCATATGCAAGTCCTTCTTCCTCTCCCTATATTGTTCCATCAACCTCCTTATCAGATGAATGGCTTTTGCAGTTGACCGCCTTGGCATGAAACCGAACTGGTTCTCTAAAATAGACACACTATTTCTAACCCTCCTCTCCACCACCCTCTCCCAAACTTTCATGGTGTGACTCAGCAGCTTGATACCTCTATAGTTATTGCAATTCTGGATATCACCCTTGTTCTTGTACAACGGGACTATCAAACTTTGCCTCCACTCTTCGGGCATCCTCTTCGTCCTAAAAATAACATTAAACAAATCAGTAAGCCACTCCAAGCCTGTCTGGCCGGCGTTCTACAAAAATTCTACCGGAATCTCGTCTGGTTCGGTCGCCCTACCCCTCCTCATCTTTTGCATAACCTCCTCAACCTTAATAAGTCTACAAAACCCGAAATCACGCTTGCTTTTCGAGTCTTCCAACTTCCCAAGCTTAATGGTCCTATCCCCATTCTCGTTCAAGAGTCTATGGAAGTACATTTTCCACCTTCGCCTAATACACGCCTCCTCTACCAAGACCTTATTTTCCTCATCTTTGATGCACCTCACTTGGTCCAGGTCCCAAGCCATTCTCTCTCTAGCCTTGGCTAACCAGAATAGTTTCTTATCACCACCTCTACCCCCTAGCTCCTCATACAGGCGTTCAAATGTTGCAGTTTTGGTAGCCGTGGCCGCTAACTTCGCCTCTTTCTTAGCCTTCTTATAAAACTCCATATTCGTCCTCCTCTCCTTCTCATTGACTCTCTCCATTAGTTTCACATACACTGCTTTCTTGGCTTTCACTTTTTGTTGCACCTATCCATTCCACAACCAGTCCCCTTTGTGGCCCCCCGGGTAGCCCTTTGTGACCCCTAGCACCTCTCTAGAAGCTTCCTTAATGCAGCCCACAGTCGTGGTTCACATATAACTAGCGTCCCCACTACTCCTCCAGGCCCCCATAACCAACAACTTCTCCCCTAATACCTGAGCGTTGTCCTTAGTTAAGGTTCCCCACTTGATCTTACGTTGCCCATATGATGTGTCCAAACTCACACCACAAGTATAGATTGTGAGGCGGTCGAAGCAATAATAAAAACCCAATGCAAGTCGGGGTCGAATCCACAGGGAGTTAGATATGGGATTAGGTATATGTCTAGACTAGATGTATGATGTGCCCAAGATTGTACTTCCACATATTTGGTTGTTTCTTTCGACTTCTATTGACTATGCTAATGTTTGCAAATGAAAAGCTAAGAGACAATATTTTTGGTTTTGTTGTTTTTAAAGTTGAAAAGTCTAAGGTCGTGACTTCCATCTAGGTGGTTACCCAATGGGTTGTAAACTCTAGGGCATGTTTGATTGGTCGGGGTTGTAATATAGCAATCACAATCGATTACTCACTCTATACCTCTCGGTAGTTTGAGTGATTTTGCCCAATTTCGCTTTCTCAAGTCCAAATGGGTATTGCACAAAACAAGTGATAAATACTCATGTCGGGTCTTACTATCTCTAGATTCAACCCTTTAATTAGAGCTATGAATTTCTTGAGTTCACCCCAATTTCTTATTAGCCAAGTTTTCCTAGACTTAGTCTCTCTTTCTCAAGTAGAGACTAAGTCAATTAGGCTTGAATCAATGTTTGCAACCATTAATTCTTGAATTCAAGCAAGAACTAGGCTAAAATATCACTAATCACAAATAAGCCTTAAATCAAACACCTATTAAGTACCCACACTAGGGTTGTGTCACAACCCTAGCTAGAAATTTAGCTACTGATGGAAATTGCAGAAATTAAAGAAAAAATTAAGATGGAATCCATAATAGATGATTAAGGGAAGAAAATCTAATGTTAAAATGTTAAACTAATACAATGTTGCCAAATACAGTAAAGAAAAACGGCTCAGGTTCTCTCCCAAAATAAAACTTAACCTAAAAATGACAAAAAGTTCTATTTATACTAAGCTGAAAATATTTGACAAAATTTCCCCTGTGGAGGTTGTGCGGCCGCACAATTACGTGTGCGGTCCGCACATCAAGATTTGACTTGACAGGTTCCAGGTCTGCAGCCACACAATTTTGGGTTGCGGCTGCACTCTTTCAACTTCTGCAGACCGCACATTTATGAGTGCGGACGCACTCTTGCTTCTACGGTCGCACAATTATAGTGGGGTCTGCACTCCTGAACCTGGACTTTGGCTGTGTGAGACTTCTGCGGTCCGCATAAAAATGAGTGCGGACGCGCTCTTGATTATGCAGCCGCACAAAAATGGTGCGGTCCGCATTTCTTCTTGACTCTAAAATCCCATCTCTCTGATCTTTGTCTTCTGCGGCCGCACCAGAATTGTGCGGTCCGCATTTTGTGTAGCATTTCTTTTCAGGGTTTTTCTTCAGGATCTGCAGCCGCACTCAATATTGTGCAGTGTGCATTGTGCCATTTTAGCCTCATTTTGGTCCTTGTTCAAAATTACTCCTTCTTGAGTTGATCTTCAGCTCTTTAGCTCATATTCTAACATTCTTGCAAGCAAGCACATTACATTAGTTTTCGAGAATACCTTTAAGCAATTTTGGTCTAAAACAAAAGTAAAAGAGCGCCAATAAGTAGTCAAAATCCCTACTTATCACCGTACACTGACTTAAGCTTTTGCTTGTCCTCAAGCAAATAAGGCAATTCCTACCTCCACAAAAAATGAACTATTTCAGCTGGCCTAAAGTGAACTAAACACATATCAATTGGGACCAACCATTACCCACAACACATATGAATTATCAAGAATGCAATGATTTGTCTTTTTGAGTACATTAGTTCTATTGTGACATTAGAGCATTAAGAGTTGGCTTTATTCATCAAGGAGGCTCGCTCTTTCGTGTAGGTCATTGTGGATCCCAAACTCCTCCTCCTTTACTCTCCATTAGCAAATCTCACTTTAGAATGTAACACTCAATTCAAGGATAGTGAAAAGTCAGCTCATCTCTCTCAAAAGAATGTCACAAGTACGACTTTAAGCACCATATGCTTGCTCCTCATGTAAGTCACCACTAATGTAAGCTCACTCAACTTGAAATCACTTAGGGCATTTTCGGGATGTAATGAAAGATTTTAGGATCAAGGTAGGACTTGATGGAATAGAATGGGTTCATCTTTCCTTAAGCACTACATTTTCTCTTTTTGGCTCATACTTTGTCGACTCTTTGAGTCAAATTCTTTTTCCTCGGGGGAACTAGAGAGACGTAACGTCACTCTTTCTTGGTCATGACATTTATTTTTCTCCTTTTCTATTTACTCCATGCCCTTTCATCCTTGTATTTCTTTGAATCCCTTCAACTTTTTACCTCATTCACTTTCTTTTTGGCATTTTTCTTTTTGTTCTTTCTTTCTTTTCTTTGCCTTCCCTTTTCTTCATTTCTTTTCTCTTCTTTGTACCGTTATCACTTTCAAGATCCTCGTCTCTCCCCCCAAACTTATATTTTGGCCAATTGTTCCTCAGGAATGCTAAGGAACGATCGGGTGCCAAGAGAGGGTCATTACAAAACGGATAAAGGCTTGTAACGCGGTTATTGAAATAAAAAGGGCTTTGGCTCAAATGGGTTGAATAGGGATATCACATTGGTGAGCTATGGAATATTTCAAATTTCAAATTGGATCAAGGAGATCCTACAATCATTTCTCAAGCAAAGCTACATTTAGAATTTCGCCTAGAAAGACATTCGTGCAAGTTCTAGACTATTAGCACGGTTACTTGGACTTGCAATTCAATACCTCACCTCTCACACTGTTGGATTGCTAAAGAGAATGGAGTCGAGGGCCTACAATAACCCTAGTTAAGATTGAGAATCACAAATTGCTCGACTGAACCACTCGATAACTATTTAAATCAACACAAGAGTCAAAAGGTCACAATTATGCCAACAACTTGTTTTTAACCATAAGGTCATAGGTAAGTTTTTTGGTATAAAGTGAAGCATGTTTGATACCCTTTTTATTCATTATGACTATATTTGCCTAAACATAAAAGAAAACTGACTCAATCCCTTAAGAAGGTTGTCACGCCATCCATCGTTGGGAAGAGCCACCCGGTTCACACAAAACCCACCTTTGGAAAGAACCGTGGCATTAAGAAAATCAAAGGCTTATTATTCACTCAAACGAAAAAGAAGCTAACAAATCAAAAAGAAGTTACTAAAGCAAATAAGAAGTTATACTACTAAGAAAAACAAACTAAAGAAGCTATGAAGTAAACTACAGAAAATAAGACAAATGAATATACAAACCAGAAGGAAATGAATATATACATCAAATGGGAGGGAAGAATATATACATAACCAAAGAGAAAATAAAGATAAAAGAAAAATAGTATAAGAGTTATTACACGCCAATATCAGTGTCAAATCAATCAAAATAGACCACCCCACGAATGAAAATAAGAATTGTCCCCAATGCTTAACAAAAATAAGAACAGGGAAGGGTAGAGAGCTAAGAGAACTCCCTATGTGGTCTCAGTCTGCATGACATCCGCAGCACTCTCGATCTCCTCTAACTGTATCTCATCATCACCTAGCTGAGGGACAACAGGGTTTCTGAGTATCTAGATCATCTTCTCAGCGGTGTGGGCAGTAGCATTCGGCTCCTCAGACTGGCCGGCTGCTGCCTCGGGTATTACTGTTGCTGCCTGTGCTGCTAGGACTGCTGGCTCCATAAGCAGGTCAAGCGGTAGATATCCCGCAGATGCTATCTTGGCAATCTCTTTTCTCAACTTCTCCACTGACTTCTTCGATGCCTAAGACTTTCGCATCTTCTTTGCTTGCTTTCCCAACTCCTCAGTGACCTCCCCATGCGCCACCAGAGTCTCCATAATGGTCTTCTGGTTGTCCAGAATCTTCTTCAATATTTCCTCCATTGACGGAGGTATTTTTGGTGCTGCTGGGGCATAAGACTGTGCTGCAATAGCACTGGATATGTCTGACAGCTTTAAAGTAACTGCCTGCATCTAGTTGTTGAGACTCGCCAATGTCCGGAAGACTCGTAGTGCAGTCTGTGGATAAGTGGATAAAACTGGCACCGAAAATGAAGCTGATGGTCTAGCAGAAGAAGGTGGTGGCATGTCTGCTATTCCGGTAGAAGGACCGGCTACTGTGGAAGGCATGGCAGCTGTCGAAGGCTCAGAAGCCGAATCAATAACCACTACCACTGGCTCCTCAGACTGGCCAGCGGAGGTAGTTGCCTTACCCTTGAACTTCGGGTTGTCAGCACCCTGCAGGTGGTACCATGAGAAAGGCTTCTTGGCCTTTACTTTTGTATCATATTGCCTTGGCTCCACCTTTTGATCTTTGAAGTATTCTGTGAGGAAGTTCGGGTACGGGTAGGATCTTTCACCTTTTTGGACAGTAAGAGTGATGTTGGTGGACATGATAGCACCCACATTGATCGGGTACCCAGCCATAATTGAGGCCACCAAGACTGCTCGGGGAAGTGGGAGGTTGTTCTCATTTAGGCACGGATCAATACGGCTGCACACGAAGGTCTTCCACCCTTTTGCTTCAAAGTTTAGGGTGTCCTGGACTATGGGAACCCCTACGGTGAGCCACGGAGGTGTTGTTCCCCGAATAGCCAAAATCTCAGCCAGCCACAGGCGAGCTGCATCACCCATAGCAAGCTTTTCCAAGTATTGCACTGCCTCCACTTCTTCAAATCCCACATATGAGTTCAAAGCACAAGAGTCGAATTGGATTTGCACATTTCGCACCTTTGTTATCTTGGTACCCTTCTTTATGTGA